GAAAATAACGCTTACAGTCCCTTTAACATGCTTAGGAACCAAAGAAAAAGCTGCTGAAGGAAAGAAAGGAAATTAACTTGGAGACATTGATCGTTCAAACACAGGCAGCAATGACTGGACAGGTATGCATCGATATTATCATTATCATTATTTTCATTATTATCGATATCATCATTATTATATCATTATTATCATTATCATTATTATCGATATCATCATTATCATCATTATCATTATTATAATTATTATCAGCATTATCATCATCATCATCATTATCATCATTATCATTATCATTATTATCGATATTATCATTATTATCGATATTATCATTATTATCGATCTTATCATTATTATCATTATCATTATTATCGATATTATCATTATCATCATTATCATCATTATCATCATTATCATCATTATCATCATTATCATCATTATCATCATTATCATTATTATCGATATCATCATTGTCATCATTATCATCATTATCATCATTATCATTATTATCGATATCATCATTGTCATCATTATCATCATTATCATCATTATCATTATTATCAATATCATCATTGTCATCATTATTATCATTATCATTATTATCGATATCATCATTATCATCAGAGGCCCGAAGGGGCTACGGGCATGCTCTCTCTCTGTCGTGTAATTCAACGCTGCCAACTCCTTTGGGCGTTTTTCTTGGGATTATTGTGAACGAAAAACCCCTAAATTTTGAAAATACGACATCTAGTATTCTATTTATATTATTGATTAATCAACGAGTTTATAATTTCTATATGTACCTCTAAATTGTAAATACAAACTCCAGTATTGTAATTTTAAAGGTTTAGCACATAAAATTAAAGTAAAATTCCTGTTGTTTTTTATCATAACTTCTCTTATTGAAGAGATATTGAGAAGAACAAAAAAGTTTTTAAATTTCTTCGAATGTGAATAAATTTATTCCGCATACTTTTGTGTTTAATGATCAAAACTAAAAGAGCTACGAGGTCCTAAAGTTGTACCAAATGTTGCGTAAAGAAATTGAGTCTTTGCAACAAACTCTAATTTTCTAATCCTTATATTTGTACAACCTAATAATGTAGACCTTTTATGTTTCAAACTTAGATTCTTTGATCCAACAGAATTCATGGTTTGAAATATCTAAAGTTTACGACTTTGGGTTGTGAAGTTATAGGGATTAGAAAATCATAGTTTGTGGCAAATACTCAATTCCTTTGACCTTCTTCTCTCTAGTAAAGCCTGTGTGATGGTGTAGGGACAGTGTTTTACTATATAATTTAAAATAATTTCTCTGTTTGGGATAAAATTAAGTTGGTTAAAACACATCTCTAATAGTAAAGTTATAATAACTCTGACATAATTACTTAATGTTAACTATCCTTTTGATGACCCCCCCCCCTAACAGTAGTAAATAAATGACACAAATTCTGACGAAATATCTATTCGTATTTGAAGAGAGATTAAGAACTGTTCATTGTTCGACAGCAATTTTACCCGTTTCATGGAATTATATGATCCTAGAACAGGGGGGGATGATAGTTCTCTACCTGTGTGCTCAAGTTAGCTGTACTGTACACTTACAACTGATTACTAATATTGATATACTATAAGTTAGGCCAGAATCAACTTATAATATAACAAATATGCAGTACGCTCTCGGTATAGTTTATGGCCTATACAATTAGTAAAGGATTAGCGTACATTGGGGGGGGCATATAAAAAATACTTTAAAATCTCACTTTTGCTCTTAACTAAAAAAGTTTTATTAAAAAAAAGCTTTAATCAATACTGCCTTCAGTGTAAATATATCTTTGATTATCTATAATTTTACAATATGTATCGTTTCTATGAAAATATAGATATTTTTTGAGAAACGTTTCCATCTCTATTTTTCACCCATTGCAGCTTATACCACAGTATTAAGAGGAAGTGTCTGACGAGTCCACTTAAGAAAATTACATAGATGATTTAGTAACACTTGTCATATGGAAGTTAAAAAAGGTATCAATATTTTTTCAAAAAAGAGGTTTTAAGGGGGGCACAATGTTGCCAAGGGGGGTCCCCCCCTACACAAATGCTCTCGTACGCCCCTGAAAGACATCTATTTATTTGTCTGTCTGTGTCCGTAAACCTCCAAGGTTTATGAAATTTTGATCTGAAAATGCACTATTTTGAACAGGATAATCCGCTAAATTAGTTTTTATTGGAAAACGTTGAAAAAGTGATGACCTGAAAAGCAACAGTTAAAAGGTTACTATAAAAGAGGCGTAAAGTGTCCTAAAAGGCTCCAGGGGCGGATACAGGATTTCAGCTAGGGGGGGGGGGACAAATTTTTTTAGTTACACAATAATCTCTAAAAAGTAACCAAAGAAATCTGAGGCGTGTTTAATATGGGCTCAGAGATGGAATTTAAAGAATTTGAGCCGCGGTTTAAATCTGCCAAACCCCGGTTTAAATTAAGCGCCGGCTTAAATCTTGAAACATTTGATACAATTTTAAGTGGAACCAACCATATTTAAGCCGCGGCTTTAATTTAAACCGCCGCTCAAATTCTTTAAATTCGGCCTACATTTGCCATAATTTTCTAACTCTTAAAAATTTTTCTAAAAAATGGGCCAGATTTTCCGAAATCCCAAATTTAGCTTTGTAACAATGCTGCCGGGAAAGATATGAACACTAATACGGGAGGAAAGAACTTGCAACAAATCAATGACAATACAATACTTCTCCATAGAGCAGTACCTTAACATTATTGCTCATGGGCTGCCCCCTTTATTAGATTTTTTAATTGTAGTTGTCTCGATAAAAAATATGTTAACTGTAACCATATAATTGTAGTTGTCTCGATAAAAAATATGTTAACTGTAACCATATAATTGTAGTTGTCTCGATAAAAAATNGGAGATACGAGTTTGATAACTTATAAACATTAGACCTACACATTAAGAAGAAGTTTGCCCTGGATACTGGCAAGTTCTGTACTGTTACGTGGATTTCTCCGAAGTTTTAACTAACCAGCATTGAAATATATAGCCAAGATCCAATATTATGTGAAATATAAATATAAATTTAAATGTAAGAAAAAGATAAGATAAATTCTTAAAAATCGTCTCCTCTGAAGTCTCATCCTCTGTGGGTAACCCTGTAACATAAAAATAAACATTTTATATTGAAATTGAATTGAGCATTTTTATTAACTGGTCAACTTTTATATAATTATACGTTAAATGTACATAAAATAAGGTGAACTGTGTACGGCAAGAACGGCAATGTATACATGGAATAAGGTTAATGTTGTACTGCGAGATATTGTACAGTGTACACTGTGCATGGCAGATTTGTACTGTACAATTATTGCATAGTACATAGGAATAATACAAAGCATAGCATAAACATTAGGCGATCATATTTCCAGGATTATTTTTACAAAATAATTTTCACAACAAAAATAAAAAATGGGTTAGGGGGTGATTATGGTTCAACGACATAGGGTCAAACGGCCAAAAAACGCGACAAAGGGTTAAAATGGAAAAAATATTTTATGTATTATTTCAGGGTTAGGTTAGGTTAAGACAATTTCTGGGCCGAGCGATGCGGCTACTAGTTCTAATGAACATAAAAATAGTTTAAATAAACCAAATTAGTCTAAATTAATTTTGCCCGTTTGTCTCACTTTTTGCCCTTTGTCGCGTTTTTGACCGTTTGTCGTTTGACCCTAAGTCGTTGGAGCATATGTCGGTAAATCGTAAATAATATTATTTTTTTAAGTAAGGGTCACTTGAAAATTTGTCCTTTATTTCTGTTATCAAGGGAGCCCCCACCCCCATTAAATTAAATTTAAATAGGGCGCTGGGACATTTCATAGAAAAACATTTCATAGAGAAGACATTTCATAGAGAAAACTAATACTGTAAGTAAAAGTAACCAGGATTCAATCCTAAAAAAAGGACAGTTTGCTCGAAAAATTCATCCCAAATGTTATGGTCGGCACCTCCCGGCTCTTCGTGGCTAACAACTGGCTCAATCAAAGAAACACTCAAAAAAACCTTTAATACTTTCCTAAATGATCATTTCATGGATAAGACATTTCATAAATAGGACATTTCATAGATAAAGACATTTTATAGACAGAGAAGATTTTCCATAGACATAGGAGATTTTTTTTACAAGTGATATTTTTTCTATGAAAAGTCTTATCTATGAAATGTAGGTCATGTCTTTCTTCTACAGGGTCAGAGAAACAACTGAGAAGTGGCAGTTTTTTCAATTTTGTTTTGCGGATTTTTAACAATTTACTCGAGCATTTTCATTCAACAAAAGCACTATTAGTGAAAAACTTTTATTCACAAATGAAAACGTTGAATTATAAGTTCTTAAAAAATCAAAATGAGTGAAGTACTGTTCAAATGTAATGCTTTTTTAATTGTTTCGTTGTAGCAATGTACATGGGGAGAATTATCTTTACATTTTCCATTGTCTATGAAAAATTGAAGAAGACAAAATTTCGTAAATAAAAAATCTTCTCTGTCCGTGGAAAATCTTCTTTCGTTAAAATGGCTTACCTATAAAATGTCCTATCTATAAAATGTCCTATCTATGAAATGTCCTATCTATAAAATGTCCTGTCTTTGAAATGTCCTATCTATAAAATGTCCTATCTATAAAATGTCCTATCTATGAAATGTCCTATCGATGAAATGTCCTTTCTATAAAATGTCCTGTCTATGAAATGTCCTATCTATGAAATGCCCTATCTATGAAATGTCCTATCTATGAAATGTCCTATCTATGAAATGTCCTATCTATGAAATGTCTTTCTTTAAAATGTCCCAACACCTTAATTAGTCTTTGATATTTGAACAAAAATAAAAAGTTTGAACAACACCTGAGCTTTTTTAACAATGGTGTAATAAAAACCTAAATAGTTTTAATAATTTTTAACCATATACATTATACAACTAGCCCGAAATTTTAAATAACTCAGTTATTTTTGAAGGTACATGAACAGGCAGACCACGTTTATGAAATTCCAGAATTTAAAGAATCTAAGTTTTAACAGAATCGCGAACGAATGTCGCGTGGATGAAAGACGCTCAAACGCTGTATTATTAAAAGTTAAGATTGATTAAAAATGATACATTTCTTTAAATTAAACAAAAATAAACTACTTTTACGATCTATTTTGGCAAGACTTCTCAGTTATCAATTTAAAATGTGAATTCAGAAATGTAAAAGTAATTTCTCTCAGTTTTTATTTGCTCAGCAAATAATAAATGTGCGATTTGTTAACAACAAAAAATATTAGAATAAATAATATAACAATGTTCTCTTCAATCGACTAGAAGTCAGAAAAGAAGCAAATCAGCTGTTATCTAAAATTAAGGAAAGCAGTTCCATGAAGAAATTTGATGACTACCTTATGAAGTTCAATAAACTATAAACAAGATGGCGTATTTGTGTGATGCACTATATAGATTTAGAGATTGCTGAAAATGCTGAGGATTTTCCGAAATCTGTCTGAAAACTACATTTTTGTGAAGTCCAGGAATGCTCTTCTTGCACCCTCCTCCTCGACAAATTTAAGAAATGATTTTGTGCGATCTTCCCTTGAGATTCGTTACTATGCTCTAAACCCTGATCGAACCAGAGCTAACAATTTCCCAATATTCAGTGGGAATCTTGACTTTTTGACTTTCTTTTGATGACCGATAAATTGACATCTGATAATAAAGCTGAGATCAAATCGTCTCCATAGCCGACAAGGTTGAGAATGGTGGAGGTAAAACTTCTTGTAGTGAAGATTAAAGATGTTATAAATAAAACATTTAAATTTACTCTAACAGGAGCTGCAGCAGTAACAAGCTTTCTCCTTTATCATGGAATCAAACCTTGTCCAAGTTTGATGAAACAAGGATGGTAGAAGTAACTCGCTGTGACTCCCGATTGCTTGAAAAGTTTCGTGTGACCTTGAGTTGACCTGTAAAATGAAATGAAATGATGACTGTGTAAACTATGAATCATAAAGTTAAGAGGAAAAAAGCACATGAAGAATCAATGTGGGGTTTTTATGAATCATCAGCTAGGCATGGTGTGGAAAATGAAGCTGAGGGACCTGACCAGAGGACCCCTCCAAATTTAGGTTTGGATCTGGTAACCTGAATGAGGTGGAATGTTATCCTGGTAGGGAACTAGCTAGGACATGTGCTAGGCTAGGACAATCTGCTACTTGGAGCAGGCCTGCCTTTTTTGCCTTTGAACCCACCAAATCCTTACTTTTTATATTAGAACCTAAAAGGAATAGGATTGGTGTCTTTGATGCTAATACATATGTGTTCAAATCATGGTTTTCCTGTCATGGTCACACATACGGAAATGTTGGCGGAAGATCAATGTTCACAGCTCAAAAGAGAATAAAATGGTAAGATTGTTAACAGCGCTGTTGTAATGCTGGCAAGATTAACGGCTGTGATGTAAGTTAAGTTGTCATGGTAACAGCTGTTATTGAATCAGCTTTAAGGTAGTTGGCTGCAATTTGATCAGCTGTTATTGAATCATCAACTGTTATTGAATCATCAGCTGTTATTGAATCAGCTGTTAAAGCGCTGACTAGAGAAAATCAAAATGTCCGCTGTCAGCTGATTTTAGCCGACGCCATGATGCCTCGCTGCCTCTGACGCCAAGCTATCAAGCTGCGCCGGATTAAGCTGATGAATGCTGTTGGCTGTTGCAAGAATAGTTCCATGTGATGTTGTTATCTGCTGCAACGTAGTTCCAGATATACTGTTGGTGTAATGAATCTGTTGGATATTATCCCCCTGCTGTTGCACGGATGTCTGGAGCTGTTGCAAGCCATCACCCGCCTGTTGGACTGAAGTCTGCAGCTGTTGAATGTTAGTAGTTTGCTGTTGCAATGATGTTTGTGGGAATGTAAATTGAAAAGGTTGGAAGGGTTGTTGAACCTGAAAACAAATAGATTTTAAACGAAATAAAAATGTACTGTGTACTGTGCACTGTACCTGTACTTGGAATGTAGGAGTGTACTGTGTACTGTACCTGTACTTTGAATGTCGGGAGTGTACTGTGTAATGTACCTGTACTTGGAATTTAGAAGTGCACTATGTACTGTATGAAATGTAGAAGTGTAATGTGTACTGTACCTGTACTAAAATGTTGAAGAGTGTACTGTGTACTGAACACTGTATTTGAAAGGTAGTAAAACACTGTGTACTGTACCTGTACTTGAACTGTAAAAGTGAACTGTGTACTGTACCTGTACTTGGAATGTAGGAGTGTACTGCCCGCCTGGCCAGGATATAAGAGTTGAGGCAGGTATACTTGATATACTGGTAACAGGAGATGCATTGGAGATAGAGATACCATTACTTAGTACCTAGATAGATAGATAGAAATAGATAGATGGATAGATATAGATCAGTGCTCAGGATCCGGATCCGTTGGATCCGCAAGATTTTGGCTTCCTGGATCCGGATCAGGATCAAAGGGGTAAAATATCAACCAAAAACGGCTAATAAACATTTTTACTCCAAAACCCAAATCTGAACTTTTGAAAAAAGAGTTATTATAAAAATTTCCTCATTTCTGAATTGTTCATCAAGTTTCAGGATAAAAATCAGCGAAAAATTAAAACAAAAAATTTGAAAATTATTTTGTGTTAAAAACATTCAGTAAATCTTTAAGAAATGACCTGGATCCAGATCCAGTGCGGATCCAAGATCCCGGATCCGCATCAAAATTAAATGGATCCTAAGCACTGATATAGATAATAATAATCTATTACTTATCCTAAGAAATAGATGGAAGAATATATTGATGGATAGATAGATAAAAAGAGTTATAGATAGATTATTAAGTTGCCCTGAAGAGTTAAGTTTGATAAAAACAAGAAACATTATATAGACAATAAAAAGTAAAACATGTGCTAATGCTATTTAATGAAGTTACATAGATAGATAGATAACCAAAAAAGTGTTTTTCTAGGAACTGCTTACAAAAGGTATTTTTTTTAAAGAATTATAAATGGCTTTTTCGTTTTAATAAAAAAAAAAAGTAGAAATCAAAATTTTGAGAACCATATTGAATATTTATATTTTAATGGCACTTTAGTAAAGTTTGTCGAGGAAAAAGTTTTCCCCCCATTCCTTCATCAAGACAGTACTTATATCAATGTCTTTTTCACTTTCACTAGTGATTTTTTTCACTTTCATTGGTGATTTTTTTCACTTTCACTGGTGATGTTTTCACTTTTATTATCATTAAAACCCATTTGCAACGGCTATTCTAAGTTTTTTTGGTGAAAATTATATTTTGTAATTCCCAGAAGAATACTATTTTGTTTCTTGAAAATTATTTTATACTTAGCTTGGGAACCCAGCTTTGTCTTGAAACAAAGTTTACTTCATAAGAATCAACTTATTTATCTTTTAAACCTGGATAAGAACATTCCCATGCTTCTACAAAGTTTCCCAATCAAAATTTGAGGCAAATCGGTTCATGGGTTCCTGAGCTATGCTAAGACATAGAAAAAGAAACAGAGATTACTACTTAATATAAAAAGATGTTTTCTACCTGGTTAGTTGGTTCTGTTTTGATAGCTACAGGTAGGGAGGCTGGGTTCAGTTGAACAGATATACTTTGGTTGCTTTGATTTACTGATTGATTAATTGATTGATTAATAGATTGATTGATTGGTTTCGTATCAGCTGTTTCTACAGGAGGGGTTCCCAGCTGAGAGAGAACGATGCACTGACGTTTAATACAAGCTTTCTTTAACCGTCCAGGGCCACCGTATCTAAACCAAAAATTATTGTTTCAAAACTTATAAAAATAGAAACATATCCCCTCCCCACCAGTAATTTTTAATGCATATATGGAGAAATAAATGTTTTCGGGGAAAAATAAAATTTGAGAAAAACCCTTGAAAGAAACGAAAAACTTAAAGCATCACATTTTAAAGGTAAAACAAGACTCCCCCCTGCGGAAAAAACAACATTCTTTTTTCCCTTGAATTAATTTATGAGAAGAAATATTCACCTTTTCTGGTCTAGGCAGTTCCTACACTGCCTACAGTCCTGGGTCTTATCCCGGTTCAAGCAGCCAGGACAGTTCCCACACCTAGCTCTCTTCCTTCTCTTAGATTCAGGACCTTCACTACCCTAGATAGATAGATAAATGATAAATAAATATATAGATGGATAGATGGATGGATGGATAGATAGATAGATAGATAGATAGATAGATAGATAGATAGATAGATAGATAGATAGATGGATGGATGGATGGATGGATAGATAGATAGATAGATAGATAGATAGATTGATGGATATATAGATAGATTCTCTTAGATTCAGGACCTTCACTACCCTAGATAGATAGATAGAATAGATAGATTGATAGATAGATAGATAGATATATTGATGGATAGATAGATAGATTGATGGATATATAGATAGATTCTCTTAGATTCAGGACCTTCACTACCCTAGATAGATAGATAGAATAGATAGATTGATGATTACCTGTGTAAGTGAATTATTAAAATCCTCCTCGTCTCCTTTCTTCTTCTTCTTTGCAGATTTCTTCTTCCCGCTCGCGCCGCTGTTGTTCATACTATCGCTGTTGTTTATATTGTTAATGTTGTTGATGTTGTTGATGTTGTTGATGTTGTTAATGTTGTTTGAATTATTTAGTTGTTGATTGTTCAAACGAAGAGGAGCGAGGGTAACTGTAGTAGGAGATGCCGTCTCAACCTAAATAAATGTTGAATTTGAAAATCTAAAGAGAAAAAATAAGGGAAGAATTTCCATTAGGATCAGGTTAAGATGTACATTTTTTTCTTCCTTAAAATTAAAAAAAAAAAGGCTGTTGGCTGCCTTCATTCTCAGTCCCCTTTACCTCACATTGGATACTGGTCCTGTCCTGTCCTGTCCTGTCCTGTCCTGTAATGTTCCGTCCTATCTTATTCTGTCCCATACTGTCATGTCCTGTTCCGTCCCTTTCTGTCATGTCAGTACTGTCCTATCCTCTCGCGGCCCGTTCTCTCACATCCCGTCCTGTCTTGTAATGTACCGTGCTGTCCCGTACTGTACCGACCTGTACAGGCGGATGTGGATTGTCAGAAACCAACCAGTCCCATTGCCGACCAAAGCTTGACAAAGCATCCTAGTACACAATTATTTAATCATAAAAAAATTCATCGTTTATTATTATTTCTTACTTTGAGAAAACCCCTACGAAACTATCTTAAGTCTCAATTCATTAAATCATTTTGAAGAATGGCATGTCATTCTAAATATGCTACATTTTCATGAGTATCCTGAAGAATGTCGTCATTGTTATAAATTATGTCCAAACTATGGGACACGATCAATTTTAAAAAGAGAAACAGTTTACTTTTTTCCTCGTGACTTGGTTACAATTTTGTAACCCACATTAAATTGACAGATATAATTCCGTTTATAACAAATGTGATATATAAGGATTCATAAGGAAGTGGAATCTGTAAGAGGCCCCAATGTGGACCCCCCAGTATGTAATCCTATATTAACTTGTAAACTATACGGAAATTAAAATTATCTAGGTTTAAAGTTTATTATTATCAAAACTTTAATTCATAAGTAAACTAGTTTTAAAAAATAATTGATTTGATGAAGATAACTAATTTAAAGTAAAAACTGAAGCAAAGGTTTATAAAATAAATTGAAATTGAAAAAGTATTAAGAAGAGAGGAGACCAAATATAACGGGGGAAAAAATTCTCCAATATCAAGCTGTAAGAGGTGCAAGGTTATAATGCAAGGAAAGTTATTTCAAAGGTGTACGCATCTTTTGCACTGCAGTGTACTGTCTCTGGGCGGTAATGTAAACACAAGACGGAAGTCGAAGCCTGACATGGGATCCATCTTTCACATACAAAATCAATGACATATTCTGGCCATAAGAAACTATGATGTCAATTATCTAAATTAAATGCTTTTAACCTCCTCGGATACTAAACGAACACTGATGTATCTATTATTGTTTACAAATTCCGCCCAGAGAGAACTGGTTTCAATAATTATGCAGAGTATACGCAACTGCAATTAACTTTCCTTGCATTAGTTCCTTGAAAGGCGTCTGTTCTGGGATTTGGTACCAATGCAAACAAAAACTATAAACCTAATTTCAAGTGCCCCTCTATGCAAAGATAGCAATGCCCGATTTACAACGGTATCCTTGAAACCATAATCTGATACAAAAATGTTGAGAATACCGCGTCGTTTTTCTGACTCTAAATGTTTCTGTGAATTTCTCCTTTGTTTCTTAAAAACAAGAAATGCGCAAGTCACTTTTGAAGAGAAATCACAAATGAAAATATTGAGAAAAAAGCTAAAATTGAAGAAAAATACAGGGAAGAAAAAATTATAAATTTTACCTCTAGTTGTGTTTGATCAGATGTAAGTTTATCAAATTTATCCACAAACTGTTTAACTGCTGCACAAGCTGTAGCATTCTGCTTTAGCATACATCTAATCATATATAGTTAGAACCAGAAAACATCTAAACATATACAGTGAGAACCAGAAAACATCTAAACATATACAGTTAGAACCAGAAAACATCAAAACATATACAGTGACGACCAGAAAACATCTAAATATATACAGTGACGACCAGAAAACATCTAAACATATACAGTGACGACCAGAAAACATCTAAATATATAAAGTAAGAACCAGAAAACAATTAAATATATACAGTAAGAACCAGAAAACATCTATATATAAACAGTGAGAACCAGAAAACATCTAAATATATACAGTGACGACCAGAAAACATCTAAACATATACAGTAGGAACCAGAAAACATCTGAACATATACAGTAAGAACCAGAAAACATCTAAATAAATACAGTGACGNTTTCTCTGAAATGTATGTTTAAGATATACCAGTAACAAGAATAATAAATTACACAACTCGTAGCACCATTCCTGAAGTAACAGGAAGAACAAGGACAATTATTTGAATAAATCAATGAAAACCTATGTCAAGTAACGAAATAACAGAAATGTATTGTCAGATAAATGATCTTATAAGGAACGAAGAAAAAAAGGAAATTAGATACCAGGATTGGCAGGATATCATTAAACAACAATCACCAAGAAATACACAGAAAACTTAAAAAGCTTTGTTTACAAATAAAGTGTACTGCAGTTACATGGATAAATCAAAACAAAGCTTAGATTGAGCAGCCCTTGTATTTGTTTATATTTCACCCAAAAAACTGCAGTACAACAAGTTATAAACAAGCTATGGGCGTTCTAACATTAAAAATGGGATCAAAATAAAAATCGCTTCTATGTTTGTCTGTCTGTTGGCTTGTTTGTATCAAATAAACGACAAAACGGCAGAACCGATCGGGCCCAAATTTAGTGTGGGACCTTACATGACCCCAGTGAAAAATTTTGATTTTCGTAAAATTTTAAAAATCCACGAAAAAATTGTAAATGCTAAAAGATTGAGCAACAATTAAAAGTGGAAATGGAAGATTTAATATTTTAATGAAAAAATACCTAAGAGCTTCTATGGTTCGTTCCAACTTCTCCGCAATATCTGACAGATCTAAAATATCAATCAGGGGTAAATAGTTTTCTTGATAAAATAATAATTATTATTAATATTGTAATGATTAAAGCTATTCAATCGATTACAATTACAGATATAAATCTAAGGGATTTTCGAGATCAATCATTTGCTCCCTCTGGAGAGTAAAAAGCAGCTTCTGCTGTACTAGCTGCAGGGTAATCTAGTTCTCCTCTGTTCTCCGGTAGCTCTGTTCATAGAACCACCTGGAGAACATATCTTGGTCTGTGGTTGGACTGGTTGGCCGGTAGTTGGACTTGTTTGCCCTGGATATCCTAGTTCTCTTGTACGTCCTGGAAGTCCTAGCTCTCCTGTGTGTCCAGGGTATCCAAGTTCTCCAATGTGTCCTAGGAGTCCTAGTTCTCCTATGTGTCCTAGAAGTCCTAGTTCTCCTAGGTGACCTGGAAGTCCTAGTTCTCCTATGTGACCTAGAAGTCCAAGTTCTCCTATGTCACCTAGAAGTCTATAGTTCTCCTATGTGACCTAGAAGTCTATAGTTCTCCTATGTGACCTAGAAGTCCTAGTTCACCTATGTGACCTAGAAGTCCTAGTTCTCCTGTGTGTCCTGCAGCTATTTCTACCACAGATATGTGAAGAACTGTCTGTAAAAACAGTGTCGTTTGCCTCAAGATTATCTTATTCCTCGGCTGCTTGTACAACAGATATGTAAAGAGCTGTCTGTAAAGAACAGCGTTTCCTGTATCAAGATATTCTTGTTCTTCTATAATGGAAATGTGGAGAGCTGTCTGTAAAGAGCAGAATCTCCAATATCAGGTTTAGCTTCTGCACTTGGAGTCCTAGGTCTTGACCGAATCTTCAGCTGCTCCAGATATATGAAGAGCTATCTGTAAATATCAGCGTCTACCATATAAGGATGAGGCAGCATCTGATATCAAGGATATCATAGTTCTCCTCAGTTTCTAGGAGATCCTAGCTTCTCTCTGTACCCCGGGGTTCCCTAGTGGGTAGTTAAGACGGGCTGGTATGAGAGCAATTGGTCCGGTTATAGAAACTAAAGGGGATGAATCTCTTGATGAGACTAAGTATATCTTGGATATCCTAGTTCTCTTCTGTATCCTTATGGGTAGTTTAGATGGGCTTGTACGAGAGTAATTAGTCCGGTTCCAGAAACTGAAGGGGATGAATCTCTTGATGAGACTGAGTATATCTTGGATCTCCTAGTTCTCTTCTGTATCCTTATGGGTAGTTTAGACGGGCTGGTACGAGAGTAATTGGTCCAGTCCGAGAAACTTAAGGATCCAAATGTCTTGATGAGACTGAGGAATCCGAGGATGCACATTCGTAGATAATGATGGGGAAGGAGGCAAGTGTCTCTAGTGGGCATGTTAACGATCTATCTATCTGTTAGCTGTATAATGCTTAAGTCCCCCAGCCTTTCTATACAAACGGGAGATTAAACTCTACGTCTGTATTCTATAAAGATCTGGAGTGCAGTGTCCAATCTTCAGGTTCTATATTTTGCTTTGACTACGAGAACAAAGAGAGAAAGGGGTGAGGAGAGAGAGTTTAGTATGAGTAACCAATGTTTTAATTATTACAATATTGAATAAATAATTTTTGAGGAGAACTAAATATTTTTTGGGGGGGTAAAAAGAATCAAAAAGGGTGTATGAGGATCATACGCAGATGAGATCTTCAAGAAGCCCCATCTTGGGTAACCCAGACCGCCAACACCTGTATCTGACCCTTACTGGTGAGATATCATCTGAATAGTTTACAAGAATAATGATGATTTTTATTGCTCCTGCGAGGAAAACATGGATGATTGGACATCCAAAGTCAAGTTTTTTTCTCATTCTTTTCGATACTTTTAAGTTTTAACCCTAAAACGTCAATAATTTTCCTCACCCTAAAAAATCAGATTCCTAACATACGTGAAAAAAATAAAAATATTTTCAAAATGGTCAATTTTCTAGAAGTTTATGTTTCACATGTTTTTGGTTCAAAAAAGGATCAAAACACCCGAATTTTGGTTGTTTTCATTGTTTTTGATACACCCTGTAAGTTTACCTAATTCTATAAGTTTTCCGTCCAGGTGTTCTCCAACACTGGAGATAGGAGCAGTGACGGGTTCAGTCTTTATATATTCACTCTTCATCACAACCTTAAAGGGAGGATTCACGATAAATAATCTATTAAAGGGACAATTTAGAATCAATAAATAATCTTAGAGGGCGAATTCACGATTAATAATTGAATTCAAGAGAGGATTCAAGATAAATAATACATTATTTTAAAGGGAGGATTCACGATAATAAACAAATTAAAGGGAGGATTCATGATAAATAATCAAATTAAAGGGATAATTCATGATAAATAATCAAATTAAAGGGAGGATTCACGATAAATAATCAAATTAAAGGGAGGATTCTTGATAAATAATAAATTATTTTAAAGGGAGGATTCACGATAAATAAACAAATTAAAGGGAGGATTCATGATAAATAATCAAATCAAAGGGAGTATTCATGATATATAATCAAATTAAAGGAAGGATTCACGATAAATGATCAAATTAAAGGAAGGATTCAAGATAAATAATCAAATTAAAGGAAGGATACAAGATAAATAATCAAATTAAAGGGAGGATTCAAGATAAATAATCAAATTAAAGGAAGGATTCAAGATAAATAATCAAATTAAAGGGAGTATTCATGATATATAATCAAATTAAAGGAAGGATTCAAGATAAATAATCAAATTAAAGGAAGGATTCAAGATAAATAATCAAATTAAAGGGAGGATTCACGATAAATAATCAAATTAAAGGAAGAATTCATAAAAAATAATCAATTTAAAGGAAGGATTCGCGATAAATAATCAAATTATAGTTTAAAGCAAAACAATTATTAAATTCTATGAAATGCTTCTGCAAAAATGTTGGATTTTGGCACCAAAACTCATTAATATTTATTTTGTTAAAAATGACATGAAACCGAAGAATTTCTGGTAAAAAAGAGTAAAAAATGGTTGTCACGCAAAACGTACGAAGTTAATCCAAATTTCGCTCGAAAATTATAAATTCATTATTTAAAAATATTCAAAATCAGACCTGATGGATAGTAATACTAATATATATATACCTGATGCAATGGTGTTTGTGTGTGGGGGGAGGAGAGCAGTGTGTGCTGAGGTTTGATGGCAGTTAGGTTCACAGTGCTCGTCAAACTAATTAATAAATCAATCAATCAATCAATCAATTTACCTACCAACCAACCAATCATCCAACCAACCAATCATCTAACCAACCAATAGCCATTCAAACAGCTAACCAACCAATCAACCAACCAACCAAAAAACACCAACCAACCAACCAACCAACCAACCAATCAACCAACAAACCAACCAATTAACCTCTCAGCCATGATACCAACCAACCAACCAAACAAACCAACCAACAAAACCAACCAATCAATCAATGAACCTCTAATCTATGATACCAACCAACAAAACCAACTAATCAATAAATGAACCTCTAATCTATGATACCAACCAACAAAACTAACCAATCAATCAATGAAACTCTCAGCCATAATACCAACCAACCAATCAATCAATGAACCTCTCAGCCATGATACCAACCAACCAATCAATCAATGAACCTCTCAGCCATGATACCAACCAACAAAACCAACTAATCAATCAATCAATCAACCTCTTAGCCATGATACCAACCAACCAACCAATAAGTGAAAGAGCAAATAACCCAAAGAACCTGGAAAGGTTAGCTCCTACAGGTTCCATTGTCTCCTGAAAGTATCCTTCAAACCCTTCCTTCAAGTGTGAGGGAATATCCTGGAATAATAAAGATTTAGAGATCATAATAGAGATCACAATATATTTTGAAAATCCATCAATGATGTATATACTGTGTACCAGTGCCTAGGATCCGGATCCGGATCCTTAAGATTTTGGATGAATATGCGGATCCACGGATCCGGATCCAAGATGCAAAATATCAACAAAAAACTGAGGAAAAAAAATTTACTCTTAAACCCAAAATCTGAACTATTGAAAAAAGAGAGATTATAAAAATTTCTTGATTTCTGAATGATTCATCATGATGATTTTAGCATAAAAAAAAATAAAAAAAAATAAGACAAAAACTTGAAAATTCTGCTTTGTTGAAAAAATTCAGTTATTTTCATGGAAATAACCTGGATCTGGATCCATTTTTTTCCAAGTGCGGATCCGGATTTAATGGATCCTAAGCACTGCTGTGTATTAAGGTCAAACTTATGAATTTGAAGACACTGGATCAAGCATTTATAAATTTTAGTCGCCCATAGGATTGAATCTATTAATCTTGATTATCCCGTTGTCGAAACAAGCATTTATCCTTCAAATCCCACAGTAGATATTAAAGCATTTATCCTTCAAACCCCAAAGTATATATTTAAGCATTAATCCTTCAAATCCCACAGTAGATATTGAAGCATTTATCCTTCAAATACCTGTGATTTAAAACTTTCTACACTGAATATATTAGTTCCAGCAGTTGTCAGGTGATTGTGGTAGAAGTGGATTGATACCTGAACATAACAGATTTTATCATTAAAGGGATTGTTCAGATATTTGAATGAAAAGGGTGCTACCAATCTCAACAAACAGAACATTTTAATGTCACGTCTTGTTTGCTTGTTTGTCTGTCCGTTTATACCCTTAAAAGTTTTGTCTAATTAAGTATAAATTAGATATCAATGTTTAAGATTCAGAAATCTGATTATTTTCAATTGTGGTTTCTCTGCAAGTTATAAACAGACCTTGCAAGGATATTTCTGTTGTTTATTCCTCTCCGTTTCCTCGGGTCCGCTTATTCTCATCTCAAGCTTGGCAGTACAATCCTTCTTCTGGTCGGTAGGGGCACATCTAGATCAATTAATCAATCTATCAATAAACCAACCAACCAATCAAACCAATCAAACCAATCAATCCAATCAATCCTATCAATCCAATCGATTCAATCAATCCAATCGATCCAATCGATCCCATCCAATCCAATCCAATCCAATCCAATCCAATCCAATCCAATCCAATCCAATCCCATCCAATCCAATCCAATCCAATCCATCAATCATTCAATCTTCTTATATCTATCAGTAAGTAATATTAGGAAGAAGTAGCTAATTTATTTTTAAAATAAAACAAAAATATACTAAATACAGTTGCTAAGGAGGAGATATTTAAATATTTCCAAAAATAGAGGTTTGGGGAATATTCCCCCTCTGGAAACACTTAAATATTTACTTCTTACATTTTAAATTACTTAGTATCTAATAAGAATTTTGTTCTAATATTTAACATTAATTGGGGTTTAAGGTGATGAATGAAAAGGAACGAAATTTTAGACAAAATAGGTATTTTTAGCATCTTTTCAATTCGTAAAACTTTATCCATCGATCTATCAATACTCCAACTTAAGCAATCACTTAGTTTATCAATTTATCTCTATTGACCTATCGACAATATCTTGTGTATTAAAACAAGACGTTCGTATATATGTTCCCTATAGCAGGCCAACCGGCTGGACTGAATAGGCTAAACTTTTTTGTGGACACTATTTCTTCAATTAAAAAACACAAGATAATGAGATATGATTAATGGAGAAAAAAAGATCTTCATTAAAAGAAGTGAAAATACAATGATCATTGCAATTCGTATAAAATCGTCTGAGAATCATAAAATAATCTTTTCAAACCTGTAGATCATGAACCAGCTTGATCTTCGGCTAGAGTCTGTGTGCTTGAGAGCCTCCGAGGCTTCCTGCTCATTAAACACAAATTGACTTAGAAGCTAAATATATTTTTTCAAGTGCTCCTACATTTATAGGGAGTGACATATCCGATTAACAACAGAAAACCTTTAACTAAGCATTAATAAAGCTTAAATATTTATAAATGCCATCTTTAAGTAAAATGGCGTTTTTAAACCATTTTTCACACTACGACAAAACTAACGAGTTTGAACTTAAATATAAGTATAAGATTCTAAAGATTAATGATCTGGTAGACTTTAACCAAGCTATATTTATGTATAAATATACACATAAACTTCTTCATGCATCTTTTAAAAATATTTTTAAAAAGCTTGGAAACTTTGAAAGATCCTTAACTATCAACTTGACATTCTCAAAAAGTGCTCATTACAGTATTTACCATCAAGCTCTCTTCTTAAGATGTGGAATAATTTTTTTACGATACAAACTTAATCTAAATCATAACTTCTTTAAATAACTCTTCAGAATTTACTAAGCATTTCTAAAAAGATAGATTTCAACCATTAAAATTTTTTCAATTCTTTTATAGAAAACTAAATTAAAGCTTTGCATATAAATTTCAAAAGCAACAATTGATTTCATTTCGATTTTGTATGAAATAAGACCAATTATGGATTTGGAGTTTTTGGATAATATCTTATCCAGGGGCGTATTCAGGAATTTGTCCATGGGAACCTAATTTTTTTTTCTTTCTAGGGGGGGCTTAGCACCCGGTGAGGCCTGAAAACCCCCTAAACTCCACAGACCCCCTGAATACGGTTCTGAATTTATTATTATCTGTTAAATAAATCCTACTAGACCTGTGGAAGCAAACTGCGAAGATATTTATAATGATCAAGATTCAGAATTCCTGAAAAAAATAATCATTAATATTCCTTTAAACCTTCCAGAAATTGTTACTTTTTCTGAATAAAAACACTATTTTATGACAATTTTGACAACATACAAGCTAAGCTGTGCACCCTCCCCCCTCCTCTCTCCAAAAATTGCAGTTTATTATCAGCTGTCGCAGCGCTCGGCCCCAGAAGTGCAATATTACAGATATAAATACAATTTTATAAAATTATCATTTAATTTTTGAAATATATTATATTTCTGTATTTAACATTGTACCTGCAGAGGTAGTGATAGGAAGATGTGTGGTGGAAGCGTGTGTTAACATTTTCAACTTTTTTTACAATTCTTTAATTTTACTTTATACAGAATTATTTTGTTTCACCATGTTAAAATCCTGAGCCGAGATTTACATATTTAACCTGAAAATAAATTATGATAAAGTCTATTTAAAGCTGCAGAAAAGTAGAAAAACTTTTCGCGCATTTCCTTGTACAGTTTAATGTTTACATTTGGAGGATTTTCAAAAGAGAAAACAAGGAATTACAGCGACATATAGCGGAGCTGTCACTAACTATACGGAGAAAGCCGCTAAACCGGTTTTATTTTGATTATTTACAAAGTGTAAGGGAAACATTTCTTAGATGTTTACAGTTTTAAACCTTAAACATCTAATTATCTTTACACAATAACTTGTTATGCTAATAAATATGACATTTTCAAGAAATGTTTTGATGATAATAGAGGTATTTGAAGTCGCGAAACTTTCAATAGTTCCACTAGATGACGTTTTCAGTCTGATTTGCGAGGGAGGGACGGATAAGATTTCAGGGCGAGCCAGAACAATTCGGCCTCCGAACCCAAATCTTCAAAATCTCTAATAAGTGGCACTATTATCATCATCTTTGCTTGTTTTATTTGAGTTCAACATCAAAATCCCAGGCCAAAATATTATGAAAGCCCAATTATTGGAATAATTAGTGAAAGGACATGGGCCGTCACACAAAACAAAACTACATGGATGGTCAAATATAAAATATTTGATTTAAAAAATTATGAATTCACTTGAAAATAGGGTCTCCAACACAAGTGGATTTTACTTGCAGGCAATTGCGAACCTTGCAATTCCCTTGCAATTTTATTCCACTTAATTCCGCCTAATTCTGTGCAATTAAAGAACAGTAGCAAGCAACTCCACTTCCACTCAGTTGCACACAATTACCTGCAACAAAATCATGATTGGATACCCTACCTGAAAAAAAATTTTACAATACTGTTTTTTTAAAAAGTAATCAAAAAATGGTTGCAAAGAAAGTAACATTTTAGAGCAAAATTATTACAAGAAAGAGGTAATTGTAAACTCTGCAGTTAATTTTTAGTAATTCATGAACTTTTAAGCAGCTAGAATAATTGCTGTACAGTACACATACAGACTGAAAAACGGGACAGTACAGTACACTAAATGAATCAGCCCCTTTCTAATATGATTCTAGTGGTGTGCAAAGAGGGGGGGGAGTCCAGAATTCCTCAATGAGTAATTACCGCCACCCAAATGTGTTTTGCGGCTAGCGCGCTCCTCAATTGGTAATCTCCACCGCCTCAATTGGTAATCAGCCAAAATAAGCGTAACATTAAATCAGTTATTTCTTAGAAATAAGACCATATTGACCTCTGTTATAATGGCCCTATGGTGTACAATATTGTTAAAGGTTTATTTATTGCTCCTTAGTTTCGAAAATAAATCTATAAATATGTCACACTAAGCGCTAGAAATATATTACGTTTTTTTAGTTTCAAGTTTCGCTTTAAGAATGTTTTCATCTGAATGTTATTGTTTTAAACTCCTTATATAAAGAGGAAACTTTAATCCATTATTAGTGGACTAAATACTTCATTTTCAGTAGGGGGTGGTATGAGACTAATTTTTCAAAATTTTATTTTCTTTCTGTGCATATAATTAGTTTTGTTGTAGATGTTGAACTCAAGTAGGTGAATTCAAAAATCTAAACACAGTAAAGGTTTTTTGAAAATATCTTTTAAATGGAGATGGATATTACTTTGCATGGGATGAGATAATTTATAGTAAACAGGCAGCCCAACCTTTTAGTATCTTAACGACAATCATGAAATGCAGTCATTAAATGAGCGAATTGGATCTAAGATACGGCTAAAATGAACTGTGCCTTGATTCTCAGTTTTAGTTGACCAAACAAATCTGAAAACAATTTGAAAATTTAGATTAAGCCAATACAGATGGCATAAAACCCCGATAGATGTCAAAAATTGTGTTAAAAGTGCATTAAATTAAAATCTCAGAAAACAAAATTTTACGGTGATTATCAATTGAGGAGCGCGCTTGCCGCAAAACACATTTGGGTGGCGGTGATTACTCGTTGAGGAATTCTGGACTCCCCCTCTCATGCAAAGAACCTTGCAGAAGCCTGGAGTGAGTTAAAATTTGAAGATTTAAAAAAACTATTTCAAGCTTTAAGCATAATAGTCATCAACTCAAAAAGAAGGAATTGGGAAAAATATTACATTGGTTTGAGTCTCCAAAATATAATTGGTCTGAACCCATGAACTATTTGTTTAATTTGTTTCTCATAAAGATTTCTAATTTTTTTGTACTGATCACTATCACTGCAGGGGCATTGATTATTTTAGTTATAATAGAATATGTGAAAGTTTGCCCCTATTAAATTACTCATATTTTATATAAAGTCTGCATGTCCTCTCTAAAGCAGACTAAAGTCCAACTTCTATGACTATATTTACTAATGATCCCTCTGTATAGTTCTGCATTCCTCTCTGAATTCCTGAGTAGTCTCCAGGAGACAATCATTAGTCTTCCATCCTCTTTATTATCCCCAAGCACTCTGCCCCTATTGCAGTCTAATGGTGCCAATCTCACCCCCCCCTGGCTATGGGCCTGCCAACAAGGTATGAGACTGTAAAGACAGCTAAAAGCTCTTTAGATATGACAATATTAAGTTTAAGTTAAGTTTTCTATATTATTATCCAATGATTTTTCAAAAAAAAGAGGTTTATAGTTGCAGTGAATCATGATTATAATAAAAAAGACTTATCTTATGAAAAAGAGTAGGATAGGGGGGGGGGGCAATTTCAGATAAAAGAGAAAAAGCAAAATTAAATTTTAAAACACATGCTGACAATCCAACATAACCTGACCTTTAAATCCAACCTAATCTGGGGGTGTGTTATGTTATTCAGGGCTAAATTCTTCATGAAAACTTAAGTTTTAATATTTTCAAGGGATAGATTGTCTTCCATCACTTTGAACGCCCCACATGGTAGTGCCCCTTAGACAACTGAAAAATCTCAAAAAAGTCGCAAAATAAAAAATTCACCTTATCATGCGGCTCATAGTGGCTCGCCTTCCCTTCCTCAATCAACCACCAATAGGATTCGAGGGATCGATATTATCATTAAGGGTGATTTAAACCCCCCTCCAGATCTTTAAATTCTGTAAACATTAAAACTTGAATTTTGAAAATTCATGAATAAAATCCTCGAAAAAAAACACATATAAAATCTGGGAATTAATCAATTTCCGGCGGCGGGTTGGGTCGGTGTTAGGCCCGGTTGGGACACACCTCCTTCCTCCGCCATATTCAGCTGTATTCAGCAGACCAAACCTACACTACCAGATTAGCTAATACAATGCAATACAAGCTCTAGTTTACAATATAGTGTTGTCAATACAACAGTAAATATAATAGAAAAACATTTTTTTTACTGAAAGTGGCCCAGAGCATCGTCAATTGAAAGATCTTAACATTTTTGCTTAGTGAATTTAGTGCTATACGGATAGAAATTTTAATTTCTATTATGTTTAAAAACCTATAAATATACAATATAAAGTGAGGATGTGAAAATCTTTCCATTCGATTATTTAATATACAGTGTATGCGGTGAGACTCATAAAACGCTGTAGAATGGGAAGAGATTAAATATGATTATTACAGACATTAAATAGTCCAAAAAAACAAGAAATTCAGCAATTCTTCAGTGTGCACAGACAGATTCATTTCACTCAATCTGTTACAGTTGATTTTTAGTTACTGTCAAAACTATTTGCATTGTAATAACATCAAATTCTGCATAACATTGCTCAAATGTCAACTTTTTTATTCCAAAGTTTCACGGATCTCATTTTGCTTTTTACCATCAAGGAAATATAAAATCATTTTCATAAATTATTGTTTGGTTTACAACAATTTTACATATATTATTACTTATTCTTTCTTTTCGTGTACAAATCAGAATATTTTATTATGTACTGTACAATGACCTAAAATAATGGTTGTGATCCTTTAGTACAATAATTTTTTATAAAACAAGTTCCATAACTGTACATGTTTAAATACTTCAGCATGTACTGTACAATGACCTAAAATAGAAAAATTATTGTATATTACAACAACTGCACATATATAGAACAATGCAGTACACTACTGTACACTGTACAAAGCAAAGGTCTAAAATGGGTTGTACTATGCTTGTTAATAAAAATTTGTACATTTGACTAGTTTCAGAGTTAAGTTTTACATATTTAAATATTTTTGCATGTGTACAATGAATTAAAATGGTTGTGCTGCATGTGCAGCAGTTGTACAATCATGTATCATTTATTATTACTTACCCAGTACATTTTGAATACTTCAACATTTCGTGTACAAAGACCTAAGATGGTTGTCCTGCTTGTACATAAACTGTAATTAAAACAGGTTCTAGTACTGTACCATTTACAATAATCGTATATTTAGCCTATTCAATACAAGTGACTCAATTTGTTTGTACTGCTCGTTTAAAAATTAAACATTTTACATGTTCCAGAATTGTACATATCTAAATATTTCAGCAGTGTGCTGTACAATGACCTAATATGGTTGTACTGCTTGTGAAACAACTATACTGAACAGGTTCCAGAACTGTAAATAACTAAATATTTCAGCATGTACTGTACAATGATCTAAATTGGTTGTGTACATAAAACAATTTATAGAATTATGTATATCTAAATATTTTAGCATGTACTGTACAATGACCTAAAATAGTTGTACTGCTTGTACAAGAATTGTACATAAAACAATTTATAGAACTATTCTAAATATTTCAGCATGTACTGCACAATGACCTAAAATGGTTGTACTGCTTGTACAGCAGGAGGAAAAGCAGAAGAAAACAACAACACCAGTTAATGATAATCTGCCAGTACACCAGGTATCTTAATAATTAACTATCTTCTATCATTCCCCCTCCCCCTTCCCCTCTCCTTAAAATATTTTTTCCCCCAATATAATATGAATGGTTTGAAGGATTTTTTGTTCATAAAAATGATTTTAACAACATATGTTACCCTCTGTTCCAACCCTTCTGAGCCGGCGANTCCTTTCACTTTTACTCTCTCACCTCCCCCCATACCCTTTTCCTGATTTATCATCATTATTTTGTTTAAAATGTACACTTTACAGTGTATACCCATGTATTTTTTATACAATTTTCATTCGCTTATAGTGGGCCAACCAATAAAACAAACTACTCTGGTTAGGCGGGTCCAAACTACTGAGTAAATTGTGAATTTTTCATTTGCATTATTTCGTGCTTTGTATTGTTGAATAAAAATATGAAATGAAATGAAGTAATACGCCAGTTAAAGTCAATATCTTAAAATCAATTACACATTGCCATTCAAGCTAGGGAGCTAGGGATAAAAATTGTTAATTTTTAGAAATGAGTTAGATTTTACCGTCTTATTCCACTGAAATGTTTTCCCATAATGTTAACAAAAGGCAATTTAATTTTTACATGTTTTTGGATGAATTTAGCTTTCAAGGAAATAATAGGAAACTTTTGGAATAATGTAGTTATAAGAACAACCCTCAAGGACCTTTCGGAAATGATGGTAGAAACGTTTATTTTTTTAAATTTTAAAATGCTTTGTAAATAAAGATTATCCTAAAACATGGAAAATTGACAAAATTGAGAAGAAAAGTTAAATAAAAATGTGTTAAAGAACATGTAAATGTTAGTTTTACTGTCAATTCATTCTATGAGTGACTGCCATTAACCAGTTTTAATGACCTTTTACAGCTAAGAAGAGACAAAAAAAATCCAGAGTTTTTATTATCACAGAGAATAATTTACAGTAATTGTGGCATCGTTTGTGTTTTATTTGTACTACTGTAAATCCTAATGACACACATTGATCACTTGAAATTACTTGGACATTCTCCTTAGATAAATTCAATCCCAGCACTCAGCAGTAAATACAATTAATTAAAAGTCATAAGTCTCAGTGAATTGAATTGTTTATCATCGTCTCAAGACTGATATTATTTGGATATCCATAAAAAAAATATTAAAGGGACTGTAAGCATAATATTAAGTGACCCTTCATGCAAAGATGGCAATGCCCGATCGAATCATAACGATACTCTTTAAAGCTTGGTCTCATGAAGTATGAATTATTGACCAATATTTATAATTGAAAACTGATTATTTTCCAACTTCTCAAGCTACAAGAAAAACGACAAATTCTTCCACATTATTGGTCAAATAAAGGTTTTAAGGGTACCGTTGTAAATCAGGCATTGTATCTTTTCCTGGAGAGTTAAAATCACGCTTACAGTCCTTTACAAATAGATCATTAAGTACAATTGGTGGCAACAGAGAAATGAACCAATTATACAGGACGTCACAAGTGTCAAATA